GTGAAGGGCCCTGCGGTGAGGAGTACACTAGACTTTCATCTCTATCCGTTTTTTAACAGTCAACTGCAATAATATGGATGGTTCAGACTATATTATATTTTTTAAAATAAAAATTTATAAAAATTATAAAATAATTTTAATGATTTTTTTATTTTTAATATAATTTAGATTTAAGTTAAAAGTTCTAATTTAATATTAAAATTTGTTTAATAGATGTATATTGACTATTTTGCACAATCTAAATTTAATTTGGTGTTAATTTAGATTTTTTTTTCTTAAAGTTTTAATGTTGTTCTCTGACTGTTAAAAAATTAAAAAAATTACAATCAAATTTTACATAAGAAATTAATTACTGCAACTTTGTAAAGTTTATTGATAAATGAACTAAACTGTATTGATAACATAATTAAATTTTTGTTAAGAACACCCAAACTCTAACATTTTTAAATACACATTTACCTTTATTACAAACAACCATATTTGTATGCTAGATTGGATGTTTTTTAAATTAAAATTATAAGTTTAATGTTTTTATGATTTTTTTAAATAAATATATTTGCACGTATCGAAAACATATCATATCTTATATTTTTAAATATAAAACTATCGATAATACATATCATATTTGATATGTATATTAGTATCTGTGCAACATAGTCCTTAATGTTCTTTTACGGTGACTTGGTATTTCAAAATATTGCATGTTTTGATAAAGTTTCAAAAGAGAAAACCCAAGGAGTGGCAGAGGCACCTCTATATCCATAGCCCCTGCGGACTTTTAAAAAACAAAAAAACAAAAAAAAAACCAGAAATTCCTGGGGACTTAATGCACGCTAGGCTCTCCGATAAATGCAATGTCTATAATTTTGGAGTGATTTTGTTAGAACTAAAATGTGGCATATACAAAGACCACGCCATATTGTGGGGATTATTTTTGTCAGGAGGATGAACTTTTGGATGAATATTGTTAAGCAAGCAAGGATGAGTGATTGAGATTGTACTTGGACTTTCCCGAGAGTTGCTTGAGTGAAGATCCCGATGAGAGACCCGAACTCGGTGAGGTTGAACTCCCAACCTTGTATAGTTTTCACATGCTTTAATTTCTTTCTTGATAATTATTTCTTCCGTTTTATCATTCAGCCCTCCCAACTCTATGTATCTTTCTCCACCACAAGATTTAATTCTCTTCTTTATATAATTAACATATAAATATTAATGTTACTTTTAATTATTAAAACATATATTATATCGTTTTTCTTTCTTTGCCCAACATATTCTTTTTATTGATCGATCTCTTGGCATTCCCATATTGGAAATGCCAGCATTAGTTGCAAGAAGCAGTTTAGAATATGAAAACATGCATGATATAATATATAACTGAAGCAGATTTAACTTGGGAGCGCGCGCGCGCGCGCGCGCACACACAACAGCATGGTGTGCGTTTAATCATGCTTCATGCAAGGACTAACAGCAAACAAGTCGAGAGAAAAGCAAACATCTGGTTAAGTTGTTTTAACTTCAGCAGATCACAGCTCTTGCTGCGTATGGAAATAACATTTTCTACTCTTTAATATAATGCCAAAATTTTTAGTCATTGGCCGTAGAAAGATGTCATCCAAAGGTTGTCCTGCAGTTAAAAATGAACATATATATATATATATATGTGTATGCATGTATGTATGTTATCAACGATATATAGAGATGTACACATACCAATCCTTCCGCCAGTTCATTAATGAAAAATCAATATCAGCCCAAAATTGATATTATTAAAAGTTGAGATCAACTTCGAGTCAACTGTTGGAATCATTATTGGAGTTAATTAATTAATCTAATTAATTTGAGAAAACGATGATCTAACTATTCAAATGAATCAGTTACGGTCAAAATTATAATCAGGCCACGCCCTCCTAAATTGACCAATTATTAGGACATGGGATGATGGGACAGATTTTCAACCTTGCATAGGATGTAATGAAAGAAGAGGAATTCTCATATGGAGGATTAGGACATTTAGCTAGGTAGTTGGCCTATTAAGTGTTAATACATTTTCATCTAATATAATTAAAAAAGGTAAACTTTTAAATATTAATAATATTAATAACAAAAAATTATTTTACAATGAATAATATATAAAAATTCATATTTCTTGATTTAATTGAAAATAAAAAGAATTACAAAAAAGTGCATAAAATATTAAATTACCTTACTTACCCTCAAGCCAACTGATGTAAAACAAGTATAACAAAATAAATTTTAAGTTAAATCAAATATAATTTTCATTACTAACTCAGACATTCATCTCTCTCCTCCCTCTCTCCCTTTCAAACCAACTACAGCTATCTAGAACTATGATTGTAGCTAAGTCCACTAGAGCACATATTTAAATTTGTGCCTTACTCTTCCGGTCCTATTTATAAATTATTTCTACTAACGTCATCAATACTAATATAATAAAAGTACAAGGAATAAAAATTTATGAAATTTCAAACATAACCTTCAAAAAATAAATAAATTTTATAATATTATTTTTATGTTTTTTTCTCTCTTATTTTTTAAAAATAATTTAGATATTTTATTTAAAATAAAACATCACTGTCAATCCAATAATTTATAAACTAAATCACTTTATCTTTTTGGAAGGTGACTAATAAAGTTGACTTTATTATATTAGTTTATAAAGTAATATGTCTTTGTGTCTTTGCTCGGTTGGCTTTATCTCTTCCAAAGCACTCATCCTTCTGGTTGTGAGATTCTTTCATTTTGCATTTTGATCGATGGAATTCTCATCACAGATTGCCCCTAATTTGGTGTTTCATGAAAGGACAAAATATATTGAGATTGTCTGTCATTTCATATGGGAGAAATCGCAAGAAGGATTAATCGCATTGCATCATGTATCTTCATCAAAATTGCAAGAAGATATATGTACCAAAGCATTGGGTAAAGCAGGTGGTGAGAGAATGTTAGTTAAGTTAGGAGGTTTGAATATTTTCAATTCTAGGTTGAGGAGGAGTGTATTTAATTGATAATATTAGTTGTTGTTATACAAAGTTGAAAATATTAGTTAATTGATAATACTTCTTAATATTAGGTTATTGCAGATTGGGCTTGTTACTTCTGTTTGTATTGGGCAGTAGGTTTAGTTATGTATTCATTTCTGGATTACTTTCTTGTTTTGAAACAAGGCCTATACATAGTTTGTCCATGTCGTATTTGTCAAGTCAGGGATTGTCATTTCACATAGACAGGCCCAGATGGTCCAATAAAATATTATTCAATTTTTTAAAATTACAAGGCCACAGTAAAACCATACAAAAAGATTAAGATCTTATCATATTTAAAACTATGAGGTTTCTACATTCATACAGTGGTACATCAAAAATCATAATATCAAAGGTATCATGCGAAAGTCGATGAGCTAAGAGATCAGCACATTTGTTTGCTTCTCTATAAGCATGGTCAAAAGTGACCATCCAATCTCTCATAAAAAGATTTTTGATCTTTCTGATAGTGTTAGAATAAAGGTGACTCTCAAAATAGATGCAATTAATGAGTGATAATGCCTTCATCAAATCAAAATGGATATTGACTATTGGTAATTTTGCATTCCAACAAAGATTTAGTCCCTTAAATTTTTGATTCATTCTACTCTCTATTAAAAATCTGTACATTTAAAATTTTAACACAGTATTTGGTTTTAGGGAAGAGGAGAGAAAAGAAAATTGGGAGAGTTTCAATCAATGATCATGAAGGGAACTTAATTATTAATAGATCCTAAAAAGATTTAAAATTCTAGTTTAGTCTAAGAGAATTAAAGTGAAAATAATTTTAACGGTGAAAAGATAAAACTAGCATTCATTTGTCATGCAAAATTATTAGTTATTAATTTTCTTACTTTACTTGTTAATTTACCAATATGAATTATAAATTTCATTCATTTGTTAAAAATGAATGGCATTTTATGATTAAATATCAACTAAACGGTTAACATTTAAGGAATTGGATAGATTGGTCACTTTTACGATTAGGTGGCATTTTTTTTTCAAGTCCTGAAATGAAGAATTCAGTCCAGTCTAGCTAGGGGCAGTGCACGGCACGCTAATGCTGAGTCTTCCAAAAAAAAGGAAAGTGAAAGTGTGAAATTGAAATTAGATCACTCGGTCGGGCAAGTATGTCTAGTCTAGACAACATTCGTCTCCTCTCTTGTCCAATTGCCCTAACCTAATCATAAAATGCCATTGAATTAGCATTTTTTGCCTATATGTATCAACTAAACGGTCAATATTTACGGGATTAGATAGATTGATCACTTTTGCACCAACTTTAGTAACGTTATGGGCTTTTTTGCTCTTGGCCTATGACTTTGTGGGTATTTTTCCCCCCCTTTATTGGTCCATGTCAATAAAGATTGACACGCGACATGCACAGTCAAACATTTAACAGTTAAAGTTAATGGCATTAGATCAAAGTTAACGGCCTGATTACTTTTTCACCCATCCATGTAATGTTATGATTGTTTTAACCTTTTTTCTCACTTTAAAATATTGGGTACTTGTGATTAACCAACTTATGAGTATTTTTACTCCTTTATGTAAAATTTAGTCCAACACTATTAGTTAAATGTCATATAATTTAACACAGTCAATGCCACATTATTATTCCTCTGGACATATTTAAAAAATGAAAAGACTAACATTGCAAATAAGAAAAACTAACCAAAACAAAAAATAAAAATCAATAATAAGACACGATAAAATTATGTGAATTAATGACCAGCAGAGCCCATTGAATTTTTGAAATTAGCATCCTTCGCTGGGGAAGTTCCTTAAGGCAGGGAAACTTGAAACTTTTTCAAGGAAACAAAAATGATCCGTCAACTGATGCTGACAAATTCTTTATAGAGCAGTCTCAGATGAAATAAGGCGAGGCCCATTATTGTGAAAGCATTAGAATCCAAATCTTGATTATACTGCAGTTCGTCCCCTGCCACAAAAGGAATGGCAACCCTTCTCAAGTGCTTCGGAGGCTCTGCCTCTACTTCTAGGAAGAGGAAACAACCTTCCACAACCGTAGAAGAGCTTTGCCACCGCTTCTCTCTTTCGCAACTTGAAGAAGCGACCAACAACTTTCACCCCACCCGAATGATCGGTGAAGGAGCTTTTGGTCCCGTATACAGAGGTGGCCGCATCTCTATCGATGGCCAATCAATAGAAATTGCAGTGAAGCGTATACCTCCAGGAAATTCCTTCCAGGGCCGTTCTGAGTTCGAGAACGAGATCGTGATGATGTGCCAGCTACACCACCCCAATCTAGTGTCTCTCGTTGGATTTTGTGACGACAAAAATGAAATGATCGTGGTCTACAAGTACGTCCCAAACAATTCCCTCTACTATCAACTTTATGAGCAGCATGGCAAGTCGTCACCAGTTGAGCCATGGAAGAAAAGGCTAGAAATCAGCATCGGAGTAGCGCGTGCGTTACAATACCTTCACTCAGGAACCAAACGCACCATCATTCATCGCAGTGCAGAACCGGGTAACATTATTTTGGACGAGAATTGGAATCCCAAGCTCACATATTTCGGGCTTTCTATAAAAGGACCAAAGTTTTCGGCAAAGGAGGCAAAGCCCATAAAGCTGGACGTGGTTGAAGGTCCGTGGGGATATATAGCACCCGAGTGCTGGGCGCTTACTAATGTCACATATAAATGTGACGTCTATTCTTTTGGAGTGATTTTGTTAGAACTGATATGCGGAAAGATGATGTTCCAAATTTGTGAGCATGAGGGGCGTCTTATTGAGAGTGCAGATGCTACTTTATTTGCATGTAGTGTGGTTAAGAAAGTACGAAATGCAGCCGAGAATGGGAATAATGATGAGGGAATTATTGATCCGAGATTGGAGGGACAAATAGCGCCACAGTGTTGGAGACTGTACATGGACATTATAGGGAGTTGCTTGAGCGTAGATCCCCACGAGAGGCCAGACATGGGCGATGTTGAAGTGCAACTTGAACGCCTATTACAGCTGCAAGAAGAAGCAGATCATGCCAATCATGGGTTTTATTCTTTCCTCATTTAATTTTGGGAGAATGACATTTAAGGCCCAATAAAAGCCCAAATTTTTGTATAGGATATTGTCTTGTAAAAGCATGTCTATGTTATTGTTAGAAGCTAAACCTTAATTTACATTTTTTGTTAGAATTTCCTTAAAATTTAATAAGTTAAGATTCAATTTTTAACAATAATATATATGTAACGTCTCATAATCTTTTTTATATTATTGCCCGTGATAATCTCTTCCTTCTTGTGATGCCTTGGATAGTTGGACATTTGGATTGGTGCTTGTAAATCACAAAGATTCATATTAATTTTAAAAAACTTAACTTTTAATCCTTATACTTTACTTGCACTTTGTTATTTGTTCCTGCACTTTTTTTTAATATTTTAGGTTTTTACATTTTTATTTTTTATTATTTTAAATTCCTCCATAAACAAAGTGTAGGAACTTTGAAGGGACCTAAAACAATAAAAAACAAAAAATATAGAGACCTCAAGTACTTAAAAAAAGTACAGGGGCTAAAAACAAAACTCGAGTAAAGTGTAAAACCCAAATCTATGTTTTTCCTATTGATTTCTTGTTATGGTATATTATATGAACCAACATTTGACGTCCCCACGAGGCAAGTATTATTCGATAGTTTAATGGTCACTATATTCATGATTTTTTAAAGGAAAAATGATAGTTAGGTCTCCCAAAATATTGAATTAATATCAGTTAAGTCTCCAATAATTTTTTTTGAAAAAAAATTGAAAATATTGATCCAAATTATTACAAATTCAAAAGTTTTGATTGCAAATAAGTATTTAAAAATTAAATATAATTTTTAGATTATAATAGAAAAGTTTGTTTGTAACTGTTTGAATTAATATTTATAATTCATTTTGTAAAAAATTTTATTGAGGACCTAATTGTCATTAGTTCATTTATTTGGGACCTAACTATTATGTTTCTTTTTTAAATAATTTAATAATAATAAATATTTTCTTTTATTATTCTTCCATATTAATTTATAAGATATTTTTTAATAAAATTACACATACAAATAAAATTTATTAAATACACTTTATAATTATATCTTTTTAAAAAATACAAATATAAATTTTTAAAAATACTCATCATTTAATATAATTTTATTTGTATAACGTTAAACAAAGAGAGGAAATATAACATAAAGAAGGAAGGGTAGTATTAAAATAAATATGATTAATAAAATTTTATTTTTATCAAGACTGAATGTTTCTTATATTCTAGAATATTAAATTATCTTTAAAAATGTATTATAAAGTGACGCAGATGGAGTAGTTAGTAAATAACAAATGAATGGTTAGCACTGTTGGATGATTATTATTTTACTGAGAATATTGGTTATATTTTGGCATTTGGTAGGAAGCTACGACAAAAGATGGTGGCCCCCATACATGTAGTGATTGCCTTTGGTTGGAATTAGTTTCAGCACTCAGCACACTTATGAGTGTGATGGTGCTTAATGTTGTATTGAAATTTAAATTATTTAAATTTTAATTTGAATGATTTAGATTTAAAATACTATTATATTTTATATTTATTAAAATAAAAATTATAAAAGTTGAGCACCATCATGCTCATCAGTGCGTTGAGCACTGAAATCAATCATTTTCTAGTTAAAACTAAAGATAGTGGTTTAGTTGGTGTTGACTCATATAGAATATTTGGCCATAGTCGGTGCTCACTCAAACCTAAAATCAATTAATAATGTTGGCTAATATCTTACATAGATCTTAACTATTCTAATTAACTATTATCTCCTATTCCATCGCTTTCGTTTCAATCCCTAAATTGAGGAAGTTTAGCTTTTTGGATGTATGTACAATACAATGCCACTCTATAATGGATCATCTGCTAGTAAACAACCTTCCGTGACCATCTTTATCCGAAAAAACAAAAAAAACAAACACCTTCCGTGACCATACAAGAGTTCTGCCAACGCTTCTTTCTTTCCCAACTTCAACAAGCAACTGACAACTTCAACGAGAACCGCATAATAGGTCGAGGAGGTTTTGGTACGGTACACAGAGGTGGCATCTCTGTTGATGGCAAACCATAAGATTTTTTTTTTGGGCTACAAAACCAAAAGAAATTGCAATGAAGCGTAGATCTCCGTATTCCTCACATGGGCTCTTTGAGTTCAAGAACAAGATCCTAATGATGTACCAGCTACACTACCCAAATCTGGTGTCCCTCGTTGGATTTTGCGACCATAAAAATGAAATGATTGTGGTCTATGAGTACATGCCTAACACATCCCTCTGCGATAAACTTCATAGAATGGCTAGCACCTCACCGGCACTCTCGTGGAAGAAAAGGCTAGAAATCAGCATAGGAGTAGCGCATGCATTGCACTACCTCCACGTAAGTAACCAAGCGCGCCGTCATCCATCTTGCTCTAAAAATCAAGTAACATTCTTTTGGATGAGAATTGGATTCCCAAACAACTCACCGAGTTCAGGCTCTCTTTTAAAGGACTAAAATATTCGTCTAATGAAAAAGCCAAGGAGGTTAATATAATCAAAAGCACCTGTGGGTACATGGTTCCTAAGTATGCCATGCGACGTCTATAATTTTGAAGTGATTTTGTTAGAACTAATATGCGGAAAAGGACCAAATTATATGAGGGTGATTATTGATCAAGTGGAAAGCATGGATGAGGGGAGTGTAAAAAAGATTATTGACGCAAATTTAGGAGGAGAAATAGCAACGGAGTGTTGCAAATTGTACATGGACATTGTACTCAGTTGCATGAGTGAAGATTCTGACGAGAGGCCACATATGGGCTAAGTGGAGGTGGAACCAGAGCGTGTGCTAGAACTACAGCATGAAACAAATGCCAATCCCCACTTTCATTCTTTCTTCTACCTGCAACCTCCCTTTTGGTTGTAATTATTGCATTTCTTAAGAAAATAGCTTCTTTAATTTCTTGAGAATTCTGTAATTATTGCATTGAGAATTCTTTCTTTGATAACAAACTTATCATTCTTCTGTTGTGAAGTATTCATGTGTCCCAAAAATTGTTTTTGCATTCAAGGAAATAGATTTTTATAAAAGCATCCACATGGAAGAGAAAAACCATTTAATTGTTTCGTGAGGCATAGCTTCTGTACTTTGAGGCCTGCATTAGGACTAAGAAAACCTTTTAAAAGGAAACAAGAGGAAAAGAGACGTATAAGTTTGAAGTGGTGACTCTAGTCTCAACCTTGTTTAATTTGCATCAAATCTGCCAATCTATTTCTTAATAGAGATTCTTGGTTGGTCAGAAGATCAACACATTATCTTGGGCATAACAAGTGTCCATGAAGCCAAGGAGAATGGCCCAGGGACTGAAAAGAATGTGAAGTTGATTATACTGGAAACCAATAGAACAGAGTCTATCATGTGATGTCACTGGTGGCCTTACAACAATGCAATGTGGTCGTGTCGTGCATTGTCAAAAGCTACTACCAAGCAGTAGTTGCCTGTGTAATTCACCCCTTGGATATTGGGAAAAACAAAAATAGTTGATTCTTATGGTCGTGGTAACTGTACAAGAGGTAAAGAAATATGATTATCGGATACTATAAATCAAATTACCTCACTGTTCACGCAGGCTAAAATAATACAGTAATATTGACTACAGTAGACAACAATTGGAATACTTGCTTGTGCCAATACATCCAAATTTATTTGAACTGATCATTAATTTTTTTCCTTAAAAGGCCCAAAGATGTTCTCCCTTCATGAGATGGAAGTATTCAATTTTTTTTAAAATGAAACACATTACTAGATTTTTAATAGATACAGAATTTTAAAAAATAAAAATATTGACAAAAACTTATAAATATAAAATTTTAAATCTAAACTATTTAAAGTAAATTTAAATAATCTAGATGTTATACAAAGATGAGCACCGCAATGATGATGATGACTGTTATGAAGCAAATTTAAGTGTTAGAGGGAGTCTAGAAAACGCGTAATTCAAAGGCTAGATGAAGCAATGCATAGATATGATTCGAGTGTTGCCCGCGTACGCATCAACCATCACGATGTAAATTCAAGTAGCATTCTGCTGGATGAGAATTGGATTCCCAAACCCACCAATTTTAAGTTTTCTTTAAAAGGACCAAAATATTTATCAAAGGACCAAGCCAAGGAGGTAGGTCAAATCTGCCGCAACCTTTACCACATAGCCCCTGAGTTTACTTTTTACATGTAGGATCTCAAGTAACTGCGACGTCTATGGTTTTGGAATGCTTGTTAGAACTAATATGCAATGTACGGCCGATCCTTATTCACAAGGTAATTTCTAAGGACTATGCTTCGCCATCTCTCATAAATATAGCTAAAAGAGTAAGGAATCTTGAGGAAAAGGGAAATATTGGGAAAATTATATTTGACCCCAGCTTGACAGGAGAGATAGAACAGAGTGTTGGAGATTGTACATGGACATTGCAGAGAGTTGCTTGAGTGATGATCCTGATGAGAGGTCAGATATAGGTGAAGTTGAAGTCCAGCTTGTAACGTGCACTGCAACCGCAGCATGAAGCAGATGCCGATGGATCATAGTTTCCATGCATTCTTCTTCATTTAATTTTCTTTTGTTTTCATCTTTCTGCCGTCCCAACTCTATCATTCTCTCCCACTATATAATAATTGTCTTCTTCATATATTAATGTACACATGTTTATAGTTATTCAAACGTGTAAAACCTTTTCCTCTTCCTTTTTTGCTAACATATTCTTTTTATATATATGTAAAAAGAGCGTGAGCTCTTTGCTGCTATCTAAACATTACACTAGTCTTACGAGTTGGGAGCAAGTGAAATAAAATTCTATGAAAAATTCTCCTATAATCCCTGCTCTATATGATCATGAGACTCTAATAATTTAAAATGATTATAGTTAATCTAATTAAGGTATTCTACAACATTAATCTAGGATATTCCTCCCCGAGCTGAGGAACAGAGGTCATCAATCCCCAGGTTATAGAAGCTCCAATCTCCCTCTATTACTATTCAACCCGTCTAGTGTAGATTGTAGTTAATCATAGCAGAAGTAAGGAGTTGGGTGGAAAAGGGAAATGCAGAAAAGATTATAGATCCAAATATAGCTACAGAGTGTTGGAAACTATACATGGACATCGCACTGAGTTGCATCAGTGAATATCCTAACGAGAGGCCACGTATGGGCCAAGTGGCTGGAGGTGGAACTAGAGCGTGTGTTAGAACTACAGCATGAAGCAAGTGCCAGTCCCAGATTTCGTGCTTTCTTCTAGCTGCATTTTTCCTTTTGGTTATTATTATTGCGCTGACTTTTGTGAATGATTTCTTCTTGTTAATTCCAATGTCATATCTTAAGAAAATATCTTCTTTCTTAACCAAGAACTAATGAAATTAAAGGCCTCAAAAATATATCTTCTTTCTTCACCATCAAGAATTCTTTCTTTATCAACAAACTTATCACTCTTCTGTTCCCAGGTACAGAGAAAAAGCATTAATTGTTTCAAGAGGCATATATAACTTCTGTGCTTTGAACGTGCATGGTGTGAGCATTTTTGATGTTATGTCCTCAATCTTATATAAGCATATGAGATTGAAATTGTCTATCGGTTTGCAAGTCGACCTGCATGCATTAATTAGTGTGAGAAAATGGAGTGCAGAGACATATCTTTGTCGACTCCAATAACGATACCTTCAATAGTAATGCTTGGCCCTGTTTTTGTCTCACGGCAACTCGATCACAACGACGGATACAATAGATGCACTGGAACTTTCTTGAGAGAGAGGAGGGAGAGAAGCAGAAGACAGAGCACTCTCGTTCTCTCAACATAAGTTTTCATAGAGGAGGGTAAAAACTAAATGTGCCTGTGGTTATCAAATGCCCCATATTACACACTGATTAGGGGAGAGCATTGGTTAAAATGTTTCAGTTCGGTTCGAAATAATTAAAACCGAAAAACCGAAGTAAAATAGTTTTTTTAACTGAATCGAATCAAAATTTTATAACAAACTTAATTAAAACCGAACCGAAATTTAATGGTTCAATTCAATTATTCATTTCGGTTATTGAGCTTCTTAGTGAGCATATTAAACCTGTTTTTTATCAACACATTAGGCCTTTTTGTTAACAAATTGGGCCTGTTCCTAAAGAAATAAATTGTGTCTTTTTCATCATCACACGCCGTTAAGAAATAAATTCCTCCAACTAAAGTGAGGAAAAAACAATTTGAGGAAAAAACAATTTGAGAAAAAAACATGAAGAGTTGCATTAAAGAAATCAAACAAAAGGGCGTGGAACTGGAGTTTGGAAACTGGACAACATGAAAAAGCATAACAAAATAAAGAAATCGGACATAATGGCGTGGGCACTACTCAAGAAAGCACTTGTATTATTTTTTTTTTCCCTACCCAAGAAAGTAAATAACTGATAAGTTTTACATATAATTTATAAATTTATAATTCAATTACTGTAAATTCATAATAATCTAAAATAATCCATCACATAACAATAATAATCCCTTAAAAAACTACAAATAAGTTCAACAGTTTGAACATAATCCAAAATAACTTACAATACATCATCACAAAATATTAAGCAAAATAACAAAAGATAATCAATCAATTACAACTTGTAAGTTTCCAGTTGCCAATGATAGTCTCTACGGCATGCAATGAGAAACAAACAATACTTGTTTCTATCGCCTAATTAGTAATTTCTTAAAGTTTAGCCTCTCATTCATTCCAGTATTGTGTATCTTTTCCTTCTAAAGCGGTCTTGGACTGGTGCTTTTTAAAGAAGAAACTTTTATATTTCATTTTCGCAGTTTTTTTTTAATTACAGAGATACATGTCTGAAGTTAAGTGTCTACGTCATTGTTCAAGATGACAGTATAGCTGCTTATCTCAGAAGGAGTATCCATGACATGGTGCTTAAATTATATTGGAACTCATTTGCTATGGTTAAACACGTTAGGGAAGACTCAAAAAGAAAAAAGCCTTTAGTGGCAACCAAGCTTAACGGTCATCATATACGTTGCAAATTGCTGGTATATTATATGTTTGCCAGAAACCACATGTTCTGGAAAGTCACATGCAATAGTCAATGACAGCAAGTCTAGATATTTTTAACAAGTTACGATCGTGCTTCTAGATGCTTTTAATGGTGATTTAGCTTATCATGAGGTATCACTATTAGCATTTTACCATGGTTTTTAGTGCAATATTAGAGCTATAAATCTGTTTTTGTTTTGAAGACAAGGAGAATGGTCCAAGGACTGTAAAAGATGTGAAGTTAATTAGTGCCGGAAAAATACTGGAAAACAACAGAACGGTGGGGGAATGCCAGAGTCCATTATGTGATATCCCAGGTGGAGTTACAACAATGCATGTGGTCGTGCAGCCTCCTTCTGGGGATACTGTCACATCAAAAGTTGCTATCAATAGTTGTCTCTATCTCTGAGCTTAAGGATGCTTAGTATTGTTCTATTTAACTTTTGACAGAAAAATGTTTTGGTTTAACTATCACTATCGATTTTATGATTTGAGTTCGTCTTTGGATCTTTTAAAAGACTCAAGGTGTTTTGTGCTTATGGATGGTCTCTTCCCTGACGGAAAGACCAGGCTACAAGTAGTAATTAAGTTGACTTCAGCAAAATCTATGCCTTGATTTTTCCTTAGATTGTTATACTTCACTTACCAGAAGAAATCTGCGAACTTGTGATCACCCAAAAGTATTGGCTGTGTAATCCAGTTGTCAGACTTTTTCTTGTCAAAAAGTAACCACTAGCCGACAGCAAGCACCCACTTTTACTCTTATCCATAATGATTTTTCTGTCTTCTTTTCTAGACATGGAAGAAAGCAGAAAGATTGAATTGGTTGAGTCCCCATTAACTTGATTCCATTGGAGAACCCTTCCTTCAACTATCCATTAATATTTCTAATTCTTCACATCACTTAAGTTCGCTTTCCTGAAGACTCAACTGCCTAACTATACTCTCCAACGCAGTTCTAACAAATGTAATCCACCAACTCGCGTAAAGGACATAAAATTGTTTCAGTTCTTTTTCAATATTTTCAGGTTTTTTTTTAAATAATTTGATGACTGATGTTTTTGACCTTTTGCTGTTTCATCTAAAACAGAGAAGAAACCAAGAAGGGAGCCAAAGCCGAACAAGTGTGGTTGTGTAATATTATAGCACTCCCGGCTGAAGAGATCAAAGATGACATCGTTCCTAGGTGATCAAGTGTTACACTTGCATTCAATTTTAACATGATTTCGGACTGCCATAGACTTCCTCATGACACAGCTTTTATTTGCTTGTCTGGTTTGTAAACAGGTAAAGAGAAATTGGCCTGGTGAAGATTGTGATGCTAGTTATGTGGTGGTGGTTTCCTCTACGACAGTAAATCCTGTACACAATTTTCATAGGTGATGTTTTCCTTGGTGGTGTTTCATTGTTGAGTTGGCATAATTGTTTGTTGAAATGAAATCAACTATATACGTTGCCTTCATGCGCCTGATTATATATATATATATATATATATTCTTCTCATGCCTAAAGGAATATGCTTAGCAGGGTTTAACGGGTAAACTTCTCGTTGCCTTCGTGCTTGTTTAAATATACAGTTAAAATAAATTTAGAAGCCATGTTATGTATAAAAAAAAAAAATTAAGAACTTCGCAGTGTCGCTGTGGGTGGCAAGTGCGATTATTGCAAGCGAATGTTTGATTATTCTGTTATGGAGAGAAATAGATTCTCCTATTACGCAGGGAGATGATTTTGCAGCTGCGGGCTACGGCCTTGCTTGTAGCGATTTTAGGACATGAAGTAATTTTCTGTAAAATAGTTTGAATTCGATGCCGTGATTCTCAAGATATTACACAAAATGTATAGAAATATTCTTAGATGCTTTTTCTTTTTATCTTTTTAGATGTGAAAGCACAAAGTAACATTTGCTAAGTAATTATTGTTTAGATTATTTGTGTCTACGTTAAATATAAAACATCACTCAAATAAGTCACAGGGTTAGTTGGGCTGAGTAATTGAAGCATAAAATCTAATATAAATGAAAGAGGTTGGTCTCAAGGTTTAATAAAGGCTACAATAAGTAAACATGCCGAAATCCTGTCAGTTGCAAATATTAGACCGTTGGCACAAAGATATAATCTTAAATAATGTCAAAATTTATGCCCAAGTATTTCAATAAAACGAGATGGTTATTAAAATGGAGAAACCGTACCATAAGTTTCGCAAGATTCCTGATTTTTCGACAGAATGTGCTAAATTTTAAGAAAAAGACTACCGTTATTCTGACACTATAAATAGAAAAAGAAAATATAGAAAAAACTAGTCAACACTCTATCAAAGACTCACAAATTTTACATTCATTAGCCTTTTTTAATTTTTAGTTTTTAATTTGTAATCTGTTCATATTTCAATAAAATTGATACACTTATTCTATCAAAATCTTATATCTTTTTATATTTGAGTGAAATGTAATAAGGAAGGTTGGGACTCTTTCGTTATCTATTGAGACCTGACATCTCTGACATGTTTGATATTTATTATTCAACCATGAATAATTTATTTATTTTATTTTAAATATGGACTTGGGGTGTTAGAAGCATAATGCCGTGCCATACCGTGCCATGCTGTCGTGGGGGTGGCACATCAGCTCGAACGCGCTGGAGCTGTGCTGATTGATTTTGGGTTTCCTGGGTAAATTTCTTTTTAATGCAAACTTTAAAAATAATTTATTTTTATTTTAACATAATGTCCATAGTTCATTTAATTTGAATTATTTATATTTATTTTAATAATCAAAATATTTTTAATAATCAAATAAATTTATTAAAATGAAATTTATATGAGCTATCATGGTTTTTCCCTTTCCCCTATGTCGAGACCTAGAGATATTCTTATTGCATTAGATGGGAATATTTAAATTTTTTAAATGGCAAAAATTCATGGCATGAAAATATTATTCTAAATATGATTATCAAGTTATGGAGCCTTTGTATCATCGATAATGGGGAAAGTCATGCCTATTTTTTTTTATTTCATTCAGCGAATTCGACTTTTGCGTCAATTGACTTTGATAATGGCACAAAAAAATTCCACTTCGTAATTCTTCTTTGGGCCCCCGCGGGTGGGGCGGCCCGAATATTTTTGCTTTTTGGATGAGAAAATATTATCTAAGAATCATTGAAAAAAATTTATATTAATTAAAAATTAATATTATTTAAAAATATTAACTGTAGTCGGTGCTCGTGTTGGATCGCTGTTGGAGCCCTTGCCAGCTATGAAGTAGCTAGAGTCCTTGCCACCAATGAGGCCACCGGTGGCTAGTCACAGGATTTTTGATAACACTTTTATTTAAAAATAATTGATAAAGATGGCTAAAGGAAAAAATATTTGATTCAATGACCTATTAATTACCTAAAAAATTTAGTGGTTATTAAGCCTTTTAATTATATATAGCAAAAAAAATAATAAACCAAAATTTTAATCACATTCATGTTATAACATAATGATACATTATTAATTCTTAAACGGTGCATGTCATTTTACTAAAGTTATTTGTAAATTTAATATGAACAATTACAAATTAAAAATTTTAAAATTTTATGCATTTTACTTGTTAAAAGTCCGAACATATTATTGTTAATTATAAATTAATTGTTGTCAAAACTCGAATGAATACTTGTTAATAAATAACTAACACGTACAATTAAACTCTTATTATTTTTTCTAACTTGTTAAAAGCTAAATAGATTATTGTTGATGTCGAATGAATTGTTGTGAAAATATAAATGTGTATTCGTTAATAAAGGATTAATACTTTATAAAATTAAGTCAATATTATCTATTTTTGTATTTGTTAAAGCCTGAATAAATTATTGTTAACTTAAAATGAGTTATTAAAACTCGAATGAATATTTAATGAAAGACTAACATGTACAATTATGTATATCCTATCTGTTTTTCTAACTTATTAAATCTCAAATGAATTGTTAACTTTTGAATGAGTTGTTGTTAAAATTCAAATGAATACTTATTAATAAAAGACTAACGCTCACAATTATGCCAATCTTATCTATTTTTTAATTTATTAAAGTCTAAATAAACTGTTATTAATTTATAATGAGTTGCTGAAGCATGAATAAATACTTATTGATAAAAGACTAACACATGCAATATACTCATTCTATCTGTTTTTCCAACTTGTTAAAACCTACATAGACTGTTATTAATTTAAAATGAGTTATTATTAAAATTTAAATGAATACATTATATTAATGATTAAAAGCACATGTCTAATAGAATAAGAATATAAATAACAATCATGTGAAATTAGAGTTCCATGATCTTGATGACAAATTGAGAGAATGATAATTAGGTCATAGAAAACTAAATTAATGATAAATAAGTTTTCGACTACATTTTTTTATAGAACGAGTTATAAATAGGAATAAAATAATTACAAATAAAAATTTCTATTATAATTTAAAAATTAAATTTAATATTTAAATATTTATTTATACTATTAAAAATCTTAAATATATAATTTCTGGATGAATATTTTCAATTAATTTTTTATAAAAACTTATTGAATACTTGATTAATGTTAATTCAGTGTTTTGGGTTTAACTGTCATTTTTTATTTAAAAAAAAAAATCATACAGTACAATAAGATCAAAATCAAAGAAGCCGTCCCTTGCACATTGTCAAACCTTGGAAAATCCCAGTCTTAGATTGCAGCAGCTCATATACTGCCTCAAAAGTCTGAAGCTAATCTTCATTGCGCAGTTGGATCGCAACCACGACCCGACGTTACTGGGAATGGCAATCCTTCTCAAGTGCTGCGGAGGCTCTGGTTCTTATGCTACGAAACAACCTCGCACACCAATAGAAGATCTATGCCATCGCTTCTCTCTTACCCAACTGGGAAAATCGACCGACAACTTTGACAAAACCCGGAAGATCGGCGAAGGGCCCTGCGGTGAGGCGTACAGGGGTTTCATCTCTATCGACGGCGAGCCCAAAGATATTGCAGTGAAACGGCTCCGATTACAAACACCGAATTCCTCATACGGGCTCACCCTTTACAAGAACGAAATCCTCTTTATGTGCCAGCTACGCCACCCGAATCTAGTGTCTCTTGTTGGGTTTTGTGACGACAAAAATGAAATGATGGTGGTCTATGAGTACATGCCTAACGGATCCCTCCGTGATCAGCTCTACGGAATGAAGAGCAAGTCAGCGATTCTGCCATGGAAGAAAAGGCTAGAAATCAGCATAGGGGTGGCGCGTGGACTGCACTATCTTCACTCAGGGACCAAACGCACCATCATTCATCGCAATATAACACCGGTTACCATTCTTTTGGACGAGAATTGGATTCCGAAACTCTCATATTTCGGTCTTTCTTTGAAAGGACCAAAATTTTCGGCAAAGGATGCGAAACCCATTGAGATAGATGCGGTTCAAGGCACGGTGGGATATATAGCACCCGAGTGCTGGGCTCTTGCTAATGTCACGTATAAATGTGACGTCTATTCTTTTGGAGTGATTTGTTGGAACTGATATGCGGAAAGACTTTGTTCCAAATTTGTGAGTATGAGGGGCATTTATATGCTTCAGATGTTCCGTTATTTACAAATGGGGTGGTTAAGAAAGTACGAAATTCAGGGGAGAATGGGAAAAATGAGGAGGGAATTATTGATCCGAGATTGGAGGGAGAAATAGCGCCACAGTGTTGGAGACTGTACATGGACATTATTGACAGTTGCTTGGGCGCAGATCCCAACGAGAGGCCAGATATGGGCGACGTTGAAGTGCAACTTGAACGCCTTTTGCAACTGCAAGAGGAAGAAGCACATGCCAACCATGGATTTCATTCTTTCCTCTTTTAATTTTTCTCCTCCTCTTTTAAATAATACTTAATTTTGGAAATATTACTCATTTATTCACGCCAGCAAAGTTTTATCTTTCATTCTTTCCTCACTTAATTTTATACATATTTCCTCATTTATTGAAGCAAAAAAGATGATGATGATGATACTCCCTCTTCTTTTAAGGTGACTTGGGTATTTCAAAATATTACGGCCTTATTTGGTATGTAGGTTTCAATTGAGGGAGATTGGGATTGAAATTAGGAATAGGATTGAAACTGAGATTGAGAGTGAGAATGAGATCTTAAAATCATGTTTGGTATGGAGTAATACTTGTGAGGAATACTTCCTTTTATTTTATTTTATAATTACATATAAATTATGAAAGACTATACTATCTCTTGAAATTAAAAAAAATTAATTAGAAACCCTTCAAAGAAGCCGCTGGTTTTGAAACAATTTGAGATGTTCTTCGTAAACGTCCTCTTTCTGTTAATTCCTAAGTTTCTTGTTGTTCCCATTCATGGCAGATTTTTGTTCTTCTTCATGCGCAACCAGTCTCTTGCCTCTCCCTCGCAAGGACAAAGCCAAGTTCTCCTTTTACTTGCCTCATTGA